AACATCAGGGTGGTTAATATCGTACTGCTACATTCCTGGTGATAGTCGAAATATTTTCATCACTTTCTTGTAGAATTTCTTCCAATACCTACATAGTGTCGTTACAAAATAATGTCGGTCTACCAGGACATGCTTGAAGAATACAGTTTATTCAAGTAATGAATTGAATGGATCCCGCTACGTTCTTGATTTGACAATTCCATCAAAAGAACAGGTTCACAAAAACTGATTATTGTACTTCGAGTTTTTGAAAAAATAATTGGAAAGGGAAATATGTATGTCTTCTTCTTAACGTGAATATCCTAACGTTAAGAAGAGAATGACGTAATTTTTGGTAATTTTCTATATCCGACATTACGTTACATGTTAAAATTCCCAAAGAAATGCGTTTTATGTTTTATGCTTCATGTTTCATGTTTTATGTTTTGTTTTATGTCTCATGATTTATATTTCATGTTTCATGATTAATGTTTCATGTTTCATGTTTCACGTTTCGCGTTTCGCGTTTCACGTTTTACGTTTTACGTTTTACATTTTATGTTCATGTTTTACGTTTTATGTTTATGTTTTATTGGAAATTCATGTTAAGAAGAGAATGACGTCATTTTTGGTGATTTTGTATACCCTACATTGAAACTAAATATGTTCGATGGGAATAAATATGCAGTGATACGTTATTCTCTTCTTAACGTGAATATCCTCATAAAACATGAAACATTAAACATGAAATATGAATCAAGAAACATAAAACATAAACATGTTTCATAAACATGAAACATGTTTTATGTTTCATGTTGCATGTTCCATAATGTTTCATAATTTACGTGAATTCTATTTCAGAATGCTTCACATTGCAAATTTTCAGGTTATGTAGATTAATTTAGAATCTTTATCGAGATAAGGACTATTCTTGATTGTCAAAGATTACAGAGGAATTTAAAGATGTGTGAATCATCAAAAGTGTTACATTTAGAAGAAATAAAAATGTACATGTCGGCCAGTATACTCTCAATGAAGTACACCATTGAGAGTATACTGGAATCACTATTGATATAGTGAACTTATTTTTGATGTTCACATCAATAATTTTTTTTTGCTCAGAAATCACTTCAATGAACCTGACACTTTCTATGCTTACGTTTGGTCATACAATTCATAGCAGAAATGTGGTTGAAACATAAAATAAATGCATAATATTCAATTTCTAAAAGAGAAATATGAAACAAACATCAAATACGAGATCAAATGCATTTTTTTTCTACACCACAACAACGTGACCCGTTTTTCCAGATTCCTTATTTATTTATCTTCAAAAAAACTATTTACTTTTTTTTTTTTAATTACTCCACAATACTATTATATCGAAGCAGATATAGTCACCTGAGCACAAAATGGCTTATTTTGTATTCTACTTCATTTTGGTATTCGATATCAGTTTTGATATACAGGGTGAGGCACCAAAAACGAAACAGATCGAATATCTTCAAAACACATGTGTTCTGAAAAAAATGCAAAAACAGATCTTCCTATCATAACCTCAACTGTCATACCTCTTCCCCCACCCCTCGGTGACTTTCATCCAAACAATTTGAATAGGGAAAGTAGTAAGTGTCACATTAAAAACATAACTTCATAAGGAATTCGGCCATGTCAATTTTAGCTACCTAACTTTCAATTTTGGCGCCTTCTTGCGGAAAAATACTGTTCCGTATTCCAAGTTATTATATTTCATTCGCAAGCTAATTTGACATAAATTCGGTGGCAATGCATTATGGAGTTTTTCTAGGGGTAAAAACAAGATGGCGGCTTCACAATGGCGGACAAGATTTGCAATTATGGTCCGAATTGATTCAAAATTGATAAGTGGTGGTTTTCAGGGTCGGAAATTATGAATTGTTTTCCAATGCAAAAAATCAAGATGGTGGCTCAAAAATGATGGACGAAATTTGTAATTATGGTTCGATTCAACCCGACACCGAAAATGAATTCTTCAAAACACATGTGTTGTGAACATAATGCAAAAACACGTCAATTTTAAATCCAAGGGGGACAAATCTTATCGTCATACTTCTCTCGCCACCCCTTGTTCACTGATACAATTTGATCAGGGAAAGTACTAAGGGTGACACAGTATTGAAAAGGTAATTCCATAAGGAATTCAGACATGTGAGTGTTCGCTAATTAACTTTCCATTTTGGCGCTTTATTGCAGGAAAAACAACTGTTTCGTTTTTCAATTCACATTTTATTTGAAAAGTAATGTGAACAATTCACGAAAAAAGAACAACAATTGGAAAAATTACATAATCCAAGCATCGCAGAGTTATTTCAACGTCGAATGTCGTCAAATAACCCCAAACATGCTCCAAAACGTCAGACAACGTAAAGAGACGAACTCATACTCATGTACGGCATTGAATGGAGAACACTTCAAGCATCTACTATGAATCAATGTAGTTTGGAATGATCTTAGTTAAATTTATGCACAATTTTCCAATTTTCAAGTTATGTCACACTTAGTACTTTCCCTAATCAAATTCTATGAGTGACCAAGGGGTGGGGAAAGAAATATGACAGTTGAGGTAACGATAGGATTTTTCCCCCTTGGATTTAAAATTGACGTGATTTTGCATTATGTTCACAACAGATGTGTTTTGAAGAATTCTTGTCCGCCATTGTGAAGCCGCCATCTTGCTTTCTCCCCTAGAAAAACTTCATAATGTATTGTCACCGAATTTATGTCAAATTAGCTTGCGAATAAAGTATCATAATTTGGAATACGGAACAGTTTTTTTCCCGCAAGAAGGCGCCAAAATCGAAAGTTAGGTAGCTAAAATTGCTAAAATGAAATTACCTTTTTAACGATGTGTCATACTTACTACTTTACCTATTCGAATTTTTTGGGTGATCGTCACCGAGCGGTGGGGGAAGAGGTATGACAGTTGAGGTTATGATAGGAAGATGTCCTTCTTGGATTGAAAATCGACCTGTTTTTGCATTTTTTTCAGAACACATGTGTTTTGAAGATATTCGATCTGTTTCGTTTTCGGTGCCCCACCCTGTATATTGTCCGGAAGATCACTCTTTGTGAACGAAAAAATTATTCTACTCTATAAGGTGATAGATATTATTGGTAACTTGAATATGAAAAATAATGAAAATGAAATCTATACTAATATAAATGTGAAAGTTTGTGAGGATTAAAAAAAATAAATAGCTATAAATAACAATTATATTAAGCAAAAAAAAACCCGAAATGAAATAATAGTAATCAGTGAAATTAATGCGCGGTGTTCCGCCAGGATCTATACTTGGGCCTTTGCTTTTTAGTTTATATACCTCAAATATACTGACTAAGATCAATCTCTGTGAGTATCATGCTTACGCTGATGATACCCAACTTTGTGTATCGTTTAAACTAGAATTGCTGAATGAAGCTGTTGCTAACATCAATACTGAACTTCAATATATTTATGATTGTTCTGTGAAACACGAACTGCAACTCAATCCCGATAAAACGCATGTTCTAAATATAATACCGGAGGCAACAAATCTTGGCTTGATGTTGGATAATAATTTCAGGTTCAAAAAGCAAGTCTCATTATATATCAAGAGATCTTAATTTACCCGCACCGAGCATACCTAAATACATACAAAAATCAATTTATGCCAGACTCTCATCCTCATGAAACATAAAACATAATGAAACATGTTCATGTTTTATTAAACATAAACATATTATTGTTAATGTTTCATGAAACATGTATTTGTTTTATGAAACATGTTTCACGCAATTTGTACAAACAAATCAGGGTATTTATAAGTAACTTTGATCTAATGATTATAAACAAATATGTTTCATAAATCATAAACATATTTCATAAAACATAAACATGTTTCATAAAACAAAAACTTGTTTCATAAAACATGTTTCATGAAACACAAATATATTTCATAAAACATGAACATGTTTCATGAAACACAAACATCTTTCATAAAACAAAAACATGTCATAAAACATAGACATGTTTCATAAAACATAAACATGATCCATAAAACATAAACATGTTTCTTAAAACATAAACATGTTTCATGAAACATAAACATGTTTCATAAAACATAAACATGTCATAAAACATAGACATGTTTCATAAAACATAAACATGTCATAAAACATAGACATGTTTCATAAAACATAAACATGATCCATAAAACATAAATATGTTTCGTGTTTCATAAACATAAACATGTTTCGTGTTTCATAAAAATGGATGTATTTCGTGTTTCATAAAAAATAAACATGTTTCATAAACATAAACAACATAAACATGTTTCGTGTTTCACATTTTCATGTTTCATAAAAGCCAACATATTTCGTGTTTCATCAAACATAAACATGTTTCGTAAAACATAATCATGTTTGTGTTTCACAAACGTGTTTCATGAAACACAAACGTGTTTCATGAAACACAAACTTGTTTCATAAAACCCAAACATGGTTCATGAAACACAAACATGTTTCATGAAACACAAACATGTTTCATGAAACACAAACACGTTTCATGAAACACAAACATGTTTCATGTAACACAAACATGTTTCATGTAACACAAACATGTTTCATAAAACACAAACATGTTTCATAAAACACAAACATGTTTCATAAAACATAAACATGTTTCATAAGATATAAACATGTAGACTACAAAGATCTTAGACCCATAAGTATTCTACCCACCATGTCTAAGTTATTGTAACGCATTTTGAACAAACTAATCAGGGAATATATAAGTAACTATAATCTAATGATAATAAACTAAGATGTTTCATAAAACATAAACAAATATATTTTGTGTTTATTAAAACATAAACGTGTTTCATGAAATATAAACGTGTTTCATGAAATATAAACATGTTTCATAAAATATGAACATGTTTCGTGTTTCATATAAATAAACATGTTCGTGTTTCATAAAANCGCTCGCTTTTCTATCGTTCCGCCCGTCGGTTGTTTGCGAGACCTTCGACCAAGTGCTACCTCACGCGCTGGCGCAGTGACTTCAATACATTCCTATTGTTTATTTCGCGATTGACTTTTGCCGAGTGACAGTGATAGTTTTCTCAGTTTAATTGTTTTAACAATTTTAATTTATTAAATTATTTTAAAATGAACAAAAAGATTGATTTAGGTAGTCTTTACCGCAGATTATTCGATGCCTATAGTGCAGCTTATGCTGACAAAAAAAAACAAATCATACAAGAAGAAGTTAACGCCTTATGGAAAAGATTAAAAAATAATGATAACATTGAAGATGAGACAGAATCAAAAATTAAAGAATTACAAGTGAAATTGACCAAAAAAAAGGGGACACTTTTGAGTTTTTTCTCAAAGAATCCTTCTTCATCAAAGGCTTTAGCACTAGTAAAGCCACAAGACAGTAAAGTAAGTTCAAAATTTATAATACAACTAATTAGGCTAAATCAGTTAAACATCTTTAATTTAGATTATTATAAAATAGTCCGTAATTACATCTTTCTATCTCTGTTTGTTCGGAATTTTGCTTGACATTTAATACTCGCGGTTGTTCATTTTATTTAATATATTACATGTTTACTTTTAATTACAGGAGGACACTAAACTGAGTAATTCAGAAGAAATTAAAAATGTTATGACAGAACCAAGTAGATGTCAATCACTTCAAATAGTAGCTAAACCAACACCTAGTCAACACGTTTCGAAGAATAAAATTATTGTACTCGAATCTGAGCTCAATAGCTTAGTATTAGCACGTGATGCTGGTATAGCGACAGATGATGCTACCAAAAAAATAACAACATTACAAAAAGATATTCAAGCAGAAAAGACCTCATTGAAAAGAAAAATCGACGCAGCGAAATGCCAAAAAAAAAGTCGTGATACTAAAAAACAAAAATTTTTAGAACTGTGTGAAAATAATCCTGATGTTGCAACTGCTCTTAAACTTCGAAATACTTATGGTCGGCCTAGAGTTGAGGAAAATCAATCCGGTTTACTTGAAGTAATAAAATCAATTGCTCTTTTTGATGGCGCAGCTGATGATCGCCGTCGTACTGAAGTTATAAGATGTTGTAAGACATTAGACGACTTGCAAGCTGAACTATTTAAGCAAGGCTATACTATCAGTCGCTCAGGATTGTATTTGAGACTTCTTCCCAAGCGAGTAAATACAGAGGAAGGTAAAAAACATGTCGTAACCGTTCCTGTCAAGCTTTGTAAACCAGACTCTACGATACATTCAAAGCATAAATATGGCAAATTTTGTACCGCTACTATACGAAATCTTGAATCTGTAGCTTCAATTTTGGGTCCGGATCAAGTTTTTTTTTTTTTATCGATGGATGATAAAGCACGTGTACCTTTAGGCATTACAGCAGCTAACGCTCAAGCACCAATGTTAATGCATCTTGATTACCGTGTCCAATTGCCAGATCATGATTTTGTAGTCGCCGAGAAACATAAACTTATTCCATCTGTTTATGCGGGCATTCTAATAAAAAAAGATGGTGAAGGATCACCTGAAGCTGTGACGTACTCTGGTCCTACATACGTAGCAATTCGTAGTGGAAAACATTCATCTTCCAATGCAGAGACTCATGCCATTGACATTCATAAGCTTTCTGAATTACCGACTTTCGAAAACTTATTGAGAACTAGAGAAGGTTTTGTAAAACCTGTATTTATTTTCACATGCGATGGTGGTCCTGATGAAAATCCACGGTACGAGCGGGTTATAATTTCAGCTATAAAACATTTTAAAGATTTTGATTTAGATGCAATTTTTATAGCTACAAATGCCCCAGGAAGGAGTGCATTTAACAGAGTCGAACGACGCATGGCACCTCTTAGTCGTGAACTTACTGGTGTAATATCAAATCATGATGATTTTGGGTTACATCTCGATTCAAGTAATCGAACTATTGATTTGGAGCTAGAAAAACGGAACTTTGAAAGTGCAGGAAATGTGTTAGCTGATATTTGGAGCAAATTAGTCATTGATGAATTTCCTGTAGTTGCCGAATATTTCGAAATATAAATGGTGTTACACTACTTTGCATCATTATATTCATTGATGTTGTGTATGAGTTGATAAGAATGTGACGGTGTTATCCGTTTGAAAAGGTTGTGGTACTAACTGTACGGGGTTTCACTGCATATCCTAAAGCCTAATCGCCGTAAGATATTAGAAAACAATCTACTACATATTTTTCTTCTTATATGGGTTATGGCTTATGTCTATATTTCAAGCGTACTAAACCTATTTCAATGACCACATATCATGTGGTAATTGGAAAGCTATTTAGACGGATACTATATAGATCTTTAGCAAATTAATATGTTAGTTGCCTCAAGCTTTTCATGAATATCACAATTACCCATCTTACAGTTGAAACTAATTACTTACAAGGTACCGTAAACTCAAAACTATCGCGCATGATTATAAAATCTAGCTGCCCAGCCGACGTGACACATGTGATCAAAAAATAAATGTTTTTTACATATTGCATAATTTTGAAAGTTGAAAGAGATTTCTCATTAGAATTGCACGTTGAAACGCAACACTCCCGTTGAACTGCCATGTTTTTAAAATGAAGTATTTTGAGACACCCTGTACACATTGACAATCACACGTTGAAACGATAGAACCCCGTTAAACTGCCATTATTTTTTAATGACGTATTTTGAGCCACCCTGTACACATTGAAGAATCACACGTTGAAACGATAAAGCCCCGTTAAACTGTTATGTTTTTCTCAAACGCTACATACACCCTGTGAATCAGATGACAGCCATGTTTTTTTCTTTAACCCTGCACTGAATGCCTCGCCGCCATGTTTTTTGTCTTCAACCCGATTTTTCATTCATTTTTATGGAAATATCATTATTTCTATAATTCAACCGCGTTGTTATCTCTCAACTAAATCTCTTCGATACTCATTCTATCCTTCTATGCATCGTTTACGTCGCACACGTCTCTTTCCCACTCACTAACGTAATGACGTCCCCTATAGGGAATACTCTCCAGAAGCCATGTATCTGATCCACTTACTTATCTATTTCAAAATTAAAATTGATAGTTGTGAACATACTTATGTTTGAGTGAATTTTATCAATGGTCATTATTGGAATGTTCCGGAATGTACTCTATTGCCGAGCACTAGACTACCTGCCAGAATGTTCTGGACTGTTCTAGACATTTTTAGAGAGCGAAACTTTCAACCTATATATCTTCAAAATCATGCCCTGCAAATAAAAACGAAAATCTTCTTGGTTAGGGGATAGAAGGCTACCACAACATATGACACTGTTGAACGTTCCACAATGACCTTGGTTGTTCCTGAATGTTTCAGAATGTTCCCAAATATTCCAGATTGTTCTGTAATGTTGTAGAATGCTTAAAAAATATCTCGAATTCTCTGGACTCTGGAATCTGGAGATTTCTGTTAATATGAACATTCTAGCGATCATATCTTCAAAAGCATGACTTTCAGGTTAAAAAACATATTGCATGGATTGGGGATAAAGGGTCACCACAACATCAAAGCCACTTGATTGTTCTATCATGAATTAGGAGTTTCCAATCTAGATTGTTCCCGAACATTCCAACCCATTCCAGAATGTTCCGGGATATTCTGGAATTCTCTCGAGCAACGTCCAAAGTTCTGAACTTTGTAAAGAGCAAAACTTCCAGCCCTCTTATTTTCAATAGCATACCCTTCAGGTAAAAACGAGAACCTTCTCCATGGACAACCTGATGTGGCACTATGACAGGCATGTATGTTCTGTTTCCGTCCGAAGCTCAGCTATATGCGAGTTCAGTTAGACAAGCGAAAGCTTGTCTAACTGAACCACTCACTAAATGTCCATCATAATAAAACTAAAACATTTATGGGCAGATTTAAATCTCATTTTATTTATGTTGCATTTCTAAATGCAATCTCATATATGTGTGGCTAATCTCGGTACGAAATCTCGAACACACTTTGTAAATTTCCATGTTTGAATCAGTTAAGCATACAAAGGTTGAACAATCACCAACAAAATGAAGATGACCAGAAGCCGATTTGGAAAGTTCATTCATGTTTCAAATATCTTGCAGTTCTTAGCTAATAACAATTAACAAATTGATTCCTATACGGTTTGATATCTTACTTGATGGTGTTCATGCGAGAAATAAAGTCTTTTATAGAAAATGACAGCCCACGAAGAGAATCGATGATGACGATTCTTCGTGTATTAACAAAATGCAAATTAAAACTATTCGAAATAAAATTACCTAAGAGAATTCAAAATATTTCTTCTTCATAAAGAAAGAATTCAAAATCTTCATTTCACGTGACCTCCTACACATATTTCGCATTATTAGAAAATTTTTACAATTATAAATATCGCAGATTGCCAAGTCTACTTTGAAAACGTTTGCACTAAATCAAGAGCATTTCTCGTATTTCTTTTTGACGAACGACTTTCCAAAACCCTTAGTATTTATCATAGCTGAGCAAAAAAAGTATATTTTTTTGAAAACTTTCAAACAGACGATTCATAAAATGTAAACTCTCAGGCCTAAGATACCTGTATGAAGGCTATTTTCCGGGTTTTCTGGCCGTGGCCTGCAGGTTTTTGGGCCTGACATTTTGCGTCAACTGCTTTTGTAGACATTTTCAAAGGCGATGTGATAACGGTCGCAATACCCGAGCTGGTGCTCTGGTTCTTGTTCCTGTCGTATCCAACACATTAATTACTATTAGTAGTTACTACTATTATTGCGATCGTTACCACATCGCCTTTGAAAATGTCTACCGCAACAGTAGACGAAACGTCAGGCATAAAAACCTGCAGACCTCGATTAGAAAACCCAGATTTATGAATACGAGTTACTGACTTACAGGACTTTATTTTCAGAAGTTTATATTACGCAGTTCCAAATTTAAGTAAATAAAATTGACCATGATATCTTCATTACAAAACCAACTGAAGTCGGTGTGGATGGATGGAGTTGGTAGTTTGGATATCATTTTATCTGTCTGAGAGAACTCAGTATGTCTAACTTCACAGTTATTATTCCAAGGCCACTCCAATACCACCGGGTGTACTGAAAAGATCACACTTGGGTCCACTCATGTTTTTGATCTACGTGAATTCTATTTCAGAATGCTTCACATTGCAGATTTTCAGCTTATGTAGATTAATTCAGAATCTTTATCGAGATAAGGACTATTCTTGATTGTCAAAGATTACAGAGGAATTTAATTAAATATCTGTCAAATTCTTATAAAAATTGATACAATTGACGTTTAAGTATTTAATATAGATAAATTGTCTTTTACACTAAGTCATTTGAACGAATTCTTCAAAAGTTATCACGATAAGATTAACTTGACGCAACGCAGTAAGCCATTGCGCGTCGCGTCTACTGTAAGACGATGGGGGACAACGCGCGGGGGTAGAGAGACGGTCGAAACAATGAAGCGCCATTGCCGAGAACGCGGCCCGAACGCGGGCCCACGTCGTTGACGGTTGTGTTAGTAACTACTGTATTTTTGAACTAAAAATATAAATTACTAGCTGTCGCCCGCGGCTTCGCCCGCGTAGAATTTGGTTTATCACATTAAGTTTCGTGACAGACCATTTTAAACAAATAGTTACAATATTTTTTTATCAACCCAAAACTTCAGGTTTCCAACTTCAAAACTAACGAAATTCATTACAATCTTTGAACCCCTATTTTTTCCACTTGGGGAAAGAAATTCCTGATTCCCTTTCTTCATGTTTACTTACGCTATACAAAAATCCTACCTGCATGTTTTAAGAATCTAGATTCAGTAGCTTTGGCTGTACGTTAATATCAGAGTGTCAGTCAATCGATAGGTACCTACTCATATCCGCGTTACTGTGGGAACCTACCATATGTGTTATTCCAGTTCATAATTTATCTATATACCAACTTACATTTAAATCCTTTGAGCTGTTTTGGCGAGAAAAAGTAAAAAACGTAAATACATACATTCATCCATCCTCACAAACTTCACGCATTTATAATATTAGTAGGAGTAGGATTAGTACGATTACCAATGTATTTCATTATAACCTCTTATATCAACTTACAGCCAAAGATACTGAACCTAGAATTTTGAAATATGCAAGTAGGTTCTTTGTGTAGCGTAAATAAGCATCAAAGGAATCAGGAATTTTCACCCCCAAGGGGGGAAAATAGGGGTTTAAAGATTGTATTGAATTTTGTCAGTTTTGAAGTTGGAAACCTAAAGTTTTGGGCTAATAAAAATAAGTTGTAACTATTTGTTTAAAATGGTCTGTCACGAAACTTGATGTGACAAACCAAATTCTACGCGGCCAAAGCCGCGGGCAACAACTATATGTATAGTGTTATGTATAGTGTATACATATTTTGCACTGAGTTGGTCACCAACGAATGGTTTGTTCTCAACTAGTACTCGTACTTTATACTTCTTGAAAATGTTTATTTGATTTATTTCTAGAGGAATTGCACTTTAAAACCTGGGTTCGAGGTAAACATTGTTCTTTCTCGTTTAGGTTAGAATACATCCAACTGAAACAATGATATTTAGTACTATACAATTGCTTTGCATCAAAACGCATACGTTTCTTGAAAATCATTCAATAAATTGATGGATGTAGCCGTTACTATGTGGTAGGAGATCATGATGAAAACAGAAATGAAAATTTTTATGTTTTTTACCACTTTTATGAGTATAGGTACATAAAATAAAAGTGGTAAAAAAAACATAGAAATTTTTATTTCTCTTTTCATCATGAAAATCATTTATATTATATCAGGAATTACCTCACATTGTTCAAAATCGGAGTTCAAAATCAGAATTCAACAAAAGTTCGAATTCAAAGTAGAAATTTCACAGTAAGTATTCCAAACTATACTTGTTGATTTCCAACTTCAATTTCGGAACTTCTCCTAAATTCCCATAATCAACTAAGAATTCATCTTGAATTCCGACTTTCATCCCGAAATTTCATTAAATTCCGACTTTGTGCTCGTAA